TTCTGTCTATATAGTGATCTCTTTCACGTAATTGGGAGGAGACTTTTGTCAGCAGCACATGTTGTTTTTTCTGTTGGTTTTTTTTTGCCTGTTTTTTGAACATCTATAGCTTGAAATTTTTATGTAGTGACTCTCTTTCCATTTGATGTTTATACTTAATCTTCATCCATTTGGGGTTTATTTGGAACATATTTGACACTGAACTTAAACTCCAGAAAAGTCCAGGGAGCCAGGGTTACTGTAATTTTTTTTCTGTAAGATTTATTTATTTTTGAGAGAGAGAGAGAGCACAAGCTGGGAAGGGGCAGATGAGAGAGGGGGACAGAAGATCTGAAGTGGGCTCTGTGCCGACAGCAGCGAGCCCGACGGAGGGCTTGAACTCAAGAGAACCACGAGATTGTGACCTGAGCCGAAGTTGGACACTTCACCGACTGAGCCACCCAGGCGCCCTGGGATTACAGTAATTCCTGTTGGTGATGTCTTCCTATAGGCTTGGTGTTTGCTCCGGACCAAACACTGCCCGACTATGCTCGTGCTTTCCAGACCCTCTCCACCTTTCTCTCTTGATGCCGACCCACTTCTATGCAGCGTAAATACTTTATTATTATTTGTTTTTATAAATTTAAGTTATTATTCAAGTACGTGGGTTCCCGTTCAAGGTGAGAGAGAACTATAGCTCCCTTTAGTTAACGTATGTGATTTCTGCTGCTTTGCAGTGCATGTATTGATAATTACTTGCTCTGTGCCCAGGCTCCCCCCACCCTCCCCGAGTGTTTACCTATATTTCTTTAATTCTGCCAACAACCTTGAGGTGGGTGCTTATTAGGCCCATTTTTCAGGTTGATCGGATTGATAGGTTCTCTGAGAGAGAGAGAGATTGTGGCCAATCCTGTTGGAATCTGCAGGCCTTGTTTGTGTGCTTTAACCAAAAGAAGTCTTTAACGGTAATCAGCCACATTTATAGCATTAACTATAGGCTGGGCGCTTTGCAGGTATTAGCAAATTTAACCTCAACCCTTTGAGGTAGGGACTTTAAAATATGTAATATGTTGTTGAGTGACTTTTAGATCCCTTATTTATGATCTGCTTTTGTGTATGGCTTCATTATTTTTCTCCTGTGTTTTAAGATTGCTGTCTCTCCCATCCAGGGAATATATTGATTCTGATTGTGGTGATTAAAACTTTCTCGTGGCCCTGTGTTTGAGCTTTGCATCAGTTGCTGCCCAAGGGTTTAAACCAAAGCTTGCAGCTGGTTGATAGCTAGATTGTTTGTGTGTTTGACGAGGTAATATACACAGACAGCACAGGATTCAGAAGGTGCCGAAGGGCTTCCAGGGCTAAGTGTGTTTCCTTCTCACCTCTGTTCCGGTTCCCAGACCTTCTAAGGGGGAGGGAGAGGAAACCACCTTTATCAGTTCTTAACCAGTTAATGGTGTATCTTTCCAGAGGTAATTGTGTGCAGACATGTGGATTATACATAAACTTTTGTGTAAGTGGCATCAAAATACCCACCTTGTTTTCTTTTTATTATATTAAAGAAAATAAAAATGTTGTGATCAAAATGTAATATGAAATTTACCCTCCTAGTTGTTATTTTAAACACATAGTTCAGCAGGGTTAACTGTGTTCATATTGTTGTCAGAGCTCTGGTCATTGCCCCTGGAACAATTCTTCGTTTGCTAAAAAGTTTTTGTTAGAAGTTACTGACACAGAGGAATATTTAAGAACGTAGATGGTGGGGGCATCTGGGTGGCTCAGTCGGTTAAGCATCTGACTTCAGCTCAGGTCATGATTTCACGGTTCGTGATTTCGAGCGCCACATCGGGCTCTGTGCTGATGGCTCGGAGCTTGGAGCCTGCTTTGGATTCTGTGTCTACTTTTCTCTCTGCCCCTCCCCTGCTTGCACTCTGTCTTTCTCTGTCTCTCAAAAATAAATATTGAAACAAAAAACAGAATGTAGAGGTTCTGGAGACCCCTTTCCCTTTTCATGTAACAGTTTGTCGTGATGGTTTCATGGCAGCACATATGGATCTCATTCTTTGTCATTGGGGCAGGTGCTCTCCTTTATGGATATGGCGTCATTCACTTAATCGTGTCCTTCACGATGGCATTTAGGTGGTTTCTCCTCTTCTGATACAGACAGTGCTGACATTTGACCTGTCTGGAGCATCTTGCTCTAGATGGGTCTCTTGTCTCTCCACAATGTAATTTTATTTTGTTTCATGGTTTTCGCTGAGAGACATTTTTTTTTTTTTTTTTTTTTTTTTTTTTAGTAAGTGAGTTTCTCACTTGTGTTTGCTGAAGATTTTAGTTGTAATAATTCACTCTCATCAAGCACATTCCGCGTGCCAGGTGCTGCTACTGTCAGCACTTCCACTCCATCCATCTTTCCACCTCTGTGAGGTCAGCACTTATTTCCCAGAGAGAGAAAATCACTTTCCATCCACAGTAGAGTCAAAGGCTGGGATCTAACCCAACCGCTGGGACTTCAGAACTCTCCTTTGGACTATGCTGGTCTAGTATGTTGCTACGGGACAGGCACGTTTGCTCTTCGGTGAGCTATTTTGCACTATGTTATGCTTTCTGGTTTTAATGTGTTTTATTTATGTGTTAATTTTTTAAATCTCAGGCTTAGTTTTCTCTTTGCTTTGTAGTGAGTGTGTATTCTTTCTAATTTGGTATTTCTTAAAACATAATTTAATACAACTAATTGCATATATTTACTCTGTGTTTGTTTGGAGGTGATTGACTATTTCCTGCTGTGATTAGTGAGCAAGTTGGTACATTTCCACATTTTCTTACTTCCTTTTCCTTTCTTTTGCCTTTTGCTTTTGATTGATTGTTACTGAACTTGTTCTGATGTCAGCATTCATAACATTGTATGTACTAATGCCTCTAATACCTGATCAGTTTAAAGCAATGTATTTGAGTCCATGGTAAGAGGATATCATTGTCTTTGTATTCTCTCCTTTTCCTTTATACCTTTCAGCTTGATGTTATTTCTGCTGTTTTAATTTATGACATTTACATTCTGTTCTATAAATCCCAGAAAAGAGCAATCTTCGGTGCTGCGTCGTGAAAGGATTAAGTGCTCACTGTAAGGCTTTGGCTGAACGTTACCTTCTAATAGAGTTCATCCACAAAGGGCTTCTCTGCGTTCTTGTATGTTAAAGAAATTTTGTTTTCGCAACATGCTCGACTGGCAGTGTGACCAGATGTAGAATTCTTGGGCCACACCTTCCTGCCTGGAAGACTGTAAGGCCCAGGTGTCCCTGCGTGTCCCAGTGTTAAATGGAGCTATGTTGATGGCTGGGGCTGGCTGAACTTTTCCCACTGGAAAGGTAACGAGGTCTGCACCAAATGCTGTAACGAAAGACCACAGGCTGGGCGTCTTCAACCACGGGCCTCTGTGTTCTCACAGTTCTGGAGGCTTCAGGTCCAAGATCCCGGTGGGGTAAGGCTTGTTTCTGGTGAGGGCCCTCTTCCTGGCTTGTAGGTGGCCCCTTCTCACTGTGTCCTCGCATGGCCTTTCCTCTGTGGTCACATGTGGAGAGACAGGGAGAGCTCTCAGGTGTCGGTTCCTTTTCTTACAGAGACATTAGTGCTGTTGAATTAGGGCCCAGTCCTATGCTACTGCACCTGAATTACCTCCCGGAGGCCCCATCTCCAAAGGCGGTGACTTTGGGGGTTGGGCTTCAACATACGAATTTTGGGGACACAGTTCAGTCTATAACAAAGGGTATTGTGGGCTCTTTTTTTGCCGAAAGGCCCAGAGAATTTTTATTTATTCTTTTTTTTTTCTTTTTGCAGCTTTAAATATGTGATGTATGACCATATTTATTGGCATGGAAAAATGTTCACAACATATTGCTGAATGACCAAGAGCAGGTTTATTTATTCTTTTTATCTTTCTCTAATCTTCCAATTTGATAATGGTGATGATTTTAAAATAGACATTTGAGTTTTTTGAGATGATTTTGGTCTTGATTTGTATCTGCGTTTGTTTTTCTATTTTTCTGGGCATGTGTTTTCCTGTTCTCTCTCCCCTCTCCTCTTGTTCTTCTCTTAGTATTTTTATATGGTCTCTGGCTGGTTTCTGTGCACTTTTCCCTCGTCTTTTGAATGGAGGGTGTTCTTCCTGGACCTGTGTGAGCGTGGGCTGGGGGTGGGGGCAGGGCAGTGTCTGGGGGAAGCCGCTTCTTCTCCCCTGGATTTTTCTCCCTCGCGGCTGATGGCAGAGATGCTGCTTCTGACCTTGTGTCCTGTGCTCTGGCGGCAGGTGGGGCTTGGGCGGCTCCTCGGCTCATCTGCTCAGACCGATACTCTTGTTTCAAACAAGGGCTCCCTGCTTCTGTTCTCCTGGGGAGAGCTCTGTACTTCGCCTGGGGTCCAAAGTCGCTGCTGTCCTCTTTCAGAGTCTTCGCTTGAGTTTTTACTGCCCTTGGCAACTAACTTGCGGCAGACCCGTTCAGTTTCAGGTGTTACGTTATTGAAGAAAGAATCTTATTTGCTGTAACTTGTTCCTGTTTTGGGGGTGGTGGTAATAAGAACAGAAATGTTTTGAGAAGTCTTTGCCATCTTTTTTTTTTTTAATTTTAAATGTTTTTATTTATTTCTGAGACAGAGAGAGACAGAGCATGAGTGGGGGAGGGGCAGAGAGAGGGGGAGACACAGAATCCCAAGCAGGCTCTAGGCTCCGAGCTGTGAGCACAGAGCCCGATGCGGGGCTCGAACTCACGGACTGTGAGATCATGACCTGAGCCAAAGTCGGATGTTCAACCAACTGAGCCACCTAGGCTCCCCAAGTCTTTGCCATCTTAAAGCTTTTACAACTCACAGCCAGATTTCTTTAATTAATCGCTGTAAATGTACTCTATCTGTAAAATTAGGGAGTTATACAGCATCCTAATTAACATGCTTTTAGGTTAATTTTTTTATGGTTCTGATGTAATTACAGGAAATTTGGGTGATCACTAAATATAGCAAATGTTTTCCTACAGACAGAGCCTCCACTGAATACACCAGAAAATAGAGAATATCTTGCAGAAATTATGTTTGAATCATTTAACGTGCCAGGACTCTACATTGCAGTTCAGGTAAGGGCAAAGTTATTTTTATAATTCCCAACAGACCTTAGCTGCGTAACCGTGGAGGAAATGGTGAATCCAAAGGCTCTCTGCTGTAGGAGTGTGCTGTGTGTTCTCATTTTCCCACTCCCTGAACACAACCCCCCACCCCATTCAGACACTGTAAAGAACGTGTTCCATGATTTATGTTTTTATATGTACACTGTTGATCTGGAACGTATCTGGCTCTTTTTACATGCCTTACAATCTAATGTGTTTTCTTTGGGTGACAAGATTGAGATACAGATATGGTTCTCTTTTTGGCCTTTCTCCCTTTTGATCATAGTAGAGGAAAGATACTATGGAGTCTGTTAAAAAAGAAAACAAACACCTTTAGAGGGTCACCCCTATGGATCTGGGCTCCTTTGTTTCCACAAACTTCCAGAACTTCTCTTGAAACTTCTTGTTCACGGTGTGGGGAGTTTTGTTGGTTTTGGTAGTTGTTTGTCTGTGATCCTGTATAAAGAACTTGGCTGAAATTTGGGGGAATATTGAGATAGGTGTTTCCCAAAATGTTTTCTGCATGATACCTGGTCCCTTATTTTTAAGGAAAAGGAAGAGGAGTTGCATAGGAGAATAATTTGGGAGATCCTGTGTGCTGTAGCCTGCATGTGGTGACTTACAGTGGGTAGCAGAGTAAAGGCCCTGAGAATGCCTGCGTTGAAGAGGTCTGTTCATCCCAACATTTCCACATCTATTCAACCAGAAATCTGCTCTTCTCATAGGTTATTTACGTTGCATGGATTAGGGAGACTTTTTAGAAAACCCTGAACCACAGCCAAGTGCATCAAGGCTGCCTGGAGGGCATTTTATATAAGATTCTCAGGCTTCATCTCCGACCAAGGTTTTCAGCCCTGGAGCTTTGGAACGGGCCGTTCTCTGTGGTGGGGGCCGCCCTGTGTGTTGCAGGATGTTTGGCAGCCTTTGTGGCCTCTACCCACTAGAAGCAGCACCACCACCTGTCTCTCCTTCCCTGAGTGACAACCCCAAGTGGTTCTCAACGTTGCCAGAGATTCATTCTCTGGGGGCGACATTGCCCCTGGTTGAGAGCCACTGCCCTGGTCCTGCCAGCTGAGAGTTCCCGGGTGTGAGGCTTGGTAACCGGTGTTTTCTTCTTTTATAAACTCCACAAGTGGGGCGCCTGGGTGGCTCAGTCGGTTGCGCATCCGACTTCGGCTCAGGTCATGATCTCACAGTTCATGAGTTTGAGCCCTGCGTCGGGCTCTGTGCTGACGGCTCAGAGCCTGGAGCCTGCTTCGGATTCTGTGTCTCCCTCTCTGCCCCTCCCCTGCTCATGCGCGCTCTCTCTCGCTCTCTCTCTCTGTCAAAAATAAATAAACGTTAAAAAAATTTTTATAAACTCCACAAGTGATCCCTTACTGCAGCCCATTGGGAACTAGTGGCTTAGAGATGAAAATCTTCTTACTCCTTTATAAAGTTCCTTTCTCATGGGCTTTCCTTTGTACAGATTTGATTTATTTTATTGGAAACTTGGCTCATTCAGTTTAAGTGTGTTCAATACCTCATACTCAATCCTTAAGTTCAATTTGGAATTTGGATGTTCGGGGAGGGTGGCAGACAGGGGAGGTGGAGAGTTACGTGGACTAAGTAAGAAAGAGCGTATTGATAGGCCTGACGGCAAGCGACTTGAGAAACATTCCTGTGTGCTGACGATTCCGCATCTCTTATCCAGGCGGTGCTGGCCTTGGCTGCATCTTGGACGTCTCGGCAAGTTGGCGAACGCACGCTAACGGGGATCGTCATCGACAGCGGGGACGGGGTCACTCATGCCATCCCAGTGGTAAGCAGGATGTTCAGTGCTTCACTCTCTGTAGGCCTTACCTGATTTCGAGGTAAGGGAAGAAATGAAAGAAGACACGCTTTCTGTAATTAAAACACCACTTTAAAAGTCACGGCTGTGTTTAGGAAAGGTAGCAAGAGCTTTTACACCCGGTAGATGAGAAAGGACAGCGCCCCTGGGCCGTGGTGTCAGCACTTGTGAGCTGGTCCTTGTGAGCACTTGTGAGTGGCAAGGTCCTGCAGTGGGGACGACAGCCGTGGTCTGGTCCCGTGGCCTCCGCTTGCTTCTCCAGGCGTTTGCATCACCAGGGAGGTTTTCCTGGCCCACGTGAGGGGCTGCTGGGACAGACGTCATCTTGGATTCCAGACTGTAGGCGTGGTGCCTGGCCACCGGAGGGGTTATCGCCGTTCCGTGACAGGGTTGTATTCCTCTGAGCGGCTCATGCTTTAGAGGAATGACTGCCTGTCTTCAAATGTATTCAGGAGTGAGCAGCAGAGAAGGCACATTCTGACTTGCAGAATGCTCTGTGATGTCACTTGTTGGTTTTAATTTTCAAAACGTTAGAGAAGTGATTCCTAGTTCAGGCTTCAGGAGACACCTGCAGTCAGGAAGCAGCAAAGCCGGATCTGCCCCGTGCTGTCTCCTCGGGCCCCTGCGGGTCGGGGTAGGGGGGCTGGGGCCGGGGCAGCTGGTCCCTGCAGGTCCGGTGCGGGTTGCACCCTTGGGCCGGTCTCCGCACACTCACTCCTCTTGTGGGTCCCCGAGGAGGCCTGGTGTGTGACGCTGACTGGCAGGTTCCAGCGCCGGCTTCTCCCTGAGGTTATGCCCTTGACCTTGAGTACAGACTGAGCCCCGGGGAGAGACGGCAGAGGACCTTGTGGCCTGGCCTGGCGCGTGTCTCAGGTGAGAAGAGGAGGAAACATTTCATGCCGAGTGCAGGCCCACAGAGAAAGTGGTCGTAGAAGTTTTTTTCTGTCTTTTTATCCTTTTTTTTTCTGATTATAAAAATTCCATTTGTTGTACGAGTTGTACTAAACTAACAGAAATGTGGAGAAGAAAATAACATGACCCAGAAACATGCCCAGAGAACTGCATTATGCTTTTTGTCTGGAGAGCTTTCCACGTTCTTTTGCTTAGGTGCACACATATGTATGTTTTAAGCAAAACTGGAATATTTTATGTCTGGTTCTGTATTCTAACTGTATCATAAGATTCTAAACTTACGTTTTACATGTTGATCTCTGCCTAGTATTTTTTCTTGTGTTTAAATATTCTGTGAAGAAATAGTTAATAATTGCCTAGTAGCCCATCACGTGGGTTTGGGATAATTCATTCATTGACTTTCCTGTTGTTGGACGTCTAGGTTTTTTTTATTTTTTATTTTTTAAAGTCTTTAATGCTACGATGGAGCTGATACTTAATACTGGTTGACTTTCTGGTAGAAAACGTTACGAGTGAGGCATGCAATATGATAATTATGAGTGGTTTGTGTCAGCTAGTATTCTTATGAGTTTAGACTGATCTTTAATTTATACATGACTTTTATTTCCATACTAAGATATTTTATAAATAGCTTGGACTCTGTGGAGGGGCCAAATCTTTTCTTTCTTCTAGAGTTCAGGTACATGAGAAAAACCATGCGAGGAACTCAGTCACGTGCCCTTACAGCTTAGTGCTGACTGTGCAGTGCTGGTAACCACTAGCCCTGATCAACTGTAGACGAGGTGGACTGTCCCCTCCACCCCATCTCACACGGGCATGTGGCGCAGACGCTCCTCTTTTCCTGCAGGGACCATGGCGGGAAGCCATCCCCTCTGGCCGCCAGCCCCCAGAGAGTGAGCGGGGCGCGTGTGTCCCGGGAAGGCTGGCGAGGGACCTGGGCCACGCTGCACGCTGTGGGCGTGTGAGCTCTGGGCACGGCCACAGTTGCTCTCTGGGCACGGGTGGGCAGGCTTCACCTGCTGGGAAAGCAGCTGAGTGAGAGGGGTCCCTGTCCTGACCAGCACTGGCCTCCAAATGCACAGGCTGGGGGGTAACTCGCCAGAATTACTCCCAGCGAGTATAGCTCTTCGTGCAATAAATGGGGTTATTTACTGAGTCCTGAGTACATGCCAGAAACAGTGCTATGTGCTTGCCTTCCTCAAGTCTCTATTGTAAACCCCCGTGGGGTCTTGTTCACCCCATACTGTGGGGCTGAAACGTGGTGACCGACTGGTCCGTGGTGACCCAGCTGACAAATGTGGAACCAGGATTTGAATGCAGGTTGTCTGAGTCCCCTGTATTTAAATTGTTGACTCTTAAATATAAGTAGGTTTATAGTTGGTTTAATAGTTTGTAGGTAAAACTTTTTCCTTTTTGTTAGACGAACACAAAACAGTTCCCTCTTCAGACAGCATGACTTATTGGAAATGAACCGGCTTTTCCTTTCACATTCCTGACACAGTCATCATTTTGCTTGCTTACACAAGCAGGTTATATTCATGGAACTGTGCATGCAGTCACTGTAAAAGACCTCCAGTCTTGGGCTTTGTGCACAGTGGGGACTCAGTAAATGCTTGGTGTGCCGCGAGGGGGTGGGACACGGGGTCCGGGGAGCTCTGCCCTACTGGAGTTACTCATTCTGGTCCTTCTGCCTCTTTTCTTCCTTAGGCAGAAGGTTATGTAATTGGAAGCTGCATCAAACACATCCCGATTGCAGGTAGAGATATCACCTATTTCATTCAGCAGCTGCTAAGGGAGAGGGAGGTGGGAATCCCTCCCGAGCAGTCATTGGAGACCGCAAAAGCCATCAAGGTAAAAACAGATGGGAAATGGGCTGGTTTGGGCGGAGGGGGGTGGGGGGGAATGGGAGGGGGAGAAATGGTGTTTTGACCCTTCCCCTTGCTACCATCCCCCTGCTCCTGCTTTCCTTCCTCTCCCCGAGGACGTGGGTCTCTCGTTCTGTTTACCACTTGAGTTGCGGGGCAGAAAGCCTCAAAGCTTAGCCTTTTCCTCTGAGCATAAATGCTGTGGAAGCTCCAACTGTAAATGAGAACAGCTTGATAACGGGTATTGAGCACAGGCGCACGTAGTACAGCATCATTTAATTGGAGCCTAATTAGATGGAACCCTCAATTAACTGCATGTGCTTCACGTCCGGAATGAGCAGCAAACAGCAGCCACAGCGGTGTTAGGAAGTCTGCGAAGCCAGCCAGGGCTCGGACTCCTGCCGGGTACTGCCGTGCGAGGTTCCTTGCCCTGAGAATAACCGTGGAGACTGAGGCCTTTCTAGGGTCCAGAATCGTTAAAACCCATCTGTATTTTCTGGCCTCTAGTTGCCATGCTGGAGAAGTTACGGGGGGTTTTAAAGATTGGAAGAAACATGGCTCATCGGTCCTCACTTAAGGTGTCCGCTGGGCTCAACCCTTCGGTTCGTCTGTGTTCCTTCTAAACGAAGATCCTTTTAGAAGGAACTTCCCTTATTACGTTTCAGAATCAGGACAAATTATTGTTTGAGTCAAATGCAAGAGATTTCAGTGATGCAAGGATAGTTATCACATGGATTAAGAGGGAAGGGTTTGTTTTTGGAGAGGAGCAAGGTTGTGAGGTGGGATGTGTGACCTTGAGCATCTCCTTCCTCACGGGACACACACTTTCTGAGCCACAGAGGCGTTTGAGGGGAACGAGCCTAAACCCCACCCTCCCATCTAATAGCAGGTAACAGGCTGGTGGAGGAAACGTCAGACATGACTGCAGATTGGCACGTCTCTCCGGGCGGGACCAGGGGTATTTCTGGGACAGGGTGTGCTTGTAGAGGTTGGGCTCCTGCCGGTGGGATGGCCAGCTGCCCGGTGCCCCTGGGCCTGGAGCGTCCGGGATTCGGTGCTCTTGGTGCCAGAACAGGACAGCTTTGGGCAGACCTGGGGGCAGAATTGACAGAAGTCTCACAAGACTCTTTTTTAGGCTAAAGTATTTTCCAAGGCTTTCCCTCTTTCCCTGCCTGTCTTCAATGAAGGAAATTTGGATATTTGATTCATGCTTCCTCGCCATCCCAAGTCTGTTGCTAATGTGAATCAGAATCGAACTTCTTGTCCCTGACACTTAGGGGTCCCTCTGGGGAGTGTGAGTGTTCCATTTCTCGTAAAGATTATTGAGTGTGGTGACTGGTGCCTTCTCGGTCCTTGTGGTGGTGTTTGCTTTACTCACAGGCTACGTGGGGTCCAGACCCTGAGATTGGAGCGGGCCATTCAGGTTATGATGATGTCCTGCTCAGCTGTGAGGGCCGGAGTAGGAGACTCCTCCCTGACCCTCCAGATGAGCCGTGCTGGCCCTGCGTGTGGGTTACCTGCTGCCTGTTGCCTCCTCTCTGCTTCTGTAGAGGAAGAGATCCTGGAAAGATCCTGGTTGAGAGGTACCCCAAGAGATCCTGGTTGAGAGGTGCCCCAGTGTCGTGGTGCTACTGTGGCCATCTCCCGTGGCCATGAGCAGGCCTGAGGCTGCATAGATCGTGGCACACATCGTCCTTGCAGCCTGGGTCCAGAATTTAAGGCGAAGACTGCTGCACTCCGCCCAGCTTTAGGAGGCATTTCACACCATCGGTTAAGCCAGGGCAGATGCCGCGAGAAACGGACCAGGCTCTGAGGACACCTCGGTGTCGCTGTCCGCAGCCCGGTGGATTTAAAGTCGTGTTGCCTGA